TTTTCACCACTAGATACCCCGAATAATATTGTCACGGGTGGTGACCAATAAACGATAAATAAACAGAAAGAAATAAACGTTTAATGTGGCAAACTTGTGCCAAAAATAAAAGGGTACCAAAGATAATAACGGAGCGTCACGGGCGTCGAAGTCGGCGTAGCAGCACAGTCCAACGCTCGGCGAAAACTGACTCGACAAGGTTGCGGGCGGCTTCATATCTAGAGTAAGTCACTATCTCGAACATTCGGCGGGGAAGGTTCGAGCGTAGCGCGCTTGGGGCGAGAATGAAAACGCACTTTCTAGAACAACAAAAACGATAGAAGTTATGTTCGCAGCAAGAATAAACGAGAACCTTCTGCAAGTCTGCGCGCGGCATTATCCCCCCTTTAAAAGCGCATCGTCCCGATGCAGCACAAACCGAAAACAAAGTAAACAGAAATAACGGTAAACTAAAGAGTCATGGATGAAGAAAGAATAAAACAATTAAAACAGGGACAACACAACCACATCTTTCAACAAGCAACAGACGAGAGTCATTTGGAACACATAAGATCTACAGTCCTATCGAGCGTAGTACGGCTTCATGCGCACGACGTGGACGACTTCTGGTCTTGGAGGGCGGCGTGATGAAGTCCGTATTCCATCGGGCATCACCTCGTAGGTCAGATCCCCGAGTCTACGAAGCACTTTGTAGGGTCCAAAGTAGCGCTTCAGGAGTTTCTCACTCAGACCACGTCGGCGCATCGGTGTCCAGGCCCACACCCTGTCTCCCGGCTGGAAGTGGACGTCCCGGCGACGAAGGTTGTAGCGGCCAGTGTCGATACGTTGTTGGGCTTGAATCCGGAGTCTGGCGAGCTGACGGACTTCTTCTGCCCGTTGGGCAACCACCTGGGAGTCGTCGCTTCCGTCGACAGCCGGTTCGTGGGGTAACATTGCGTCCAGCATTGTCGTCACTTTGCAACCATGAACCAGTTGAAAGGGTGTAACCCCGGTGGTTTCTTGCACGGCCGTATTGTAGGCAAAGGTGACGTACGGCAACACCTCGTCCCATGTCTTGTGCTCCACGCCGACGTACATGGAAATCATGTCGGCGATGGTCTTGTTGAGTCTTTCCGTCAGCCCGTTGGTCTGAGGGTGGTACGCCGTGGTGCGACGATGGCTGGTGTGGCTGAGACGAAGGACTTCTTGTGTAAGCTGGGCCATGAACGAGGATCCACGGTCTGAGATCAGGACTTCGGGAGCGCCGTGCCGGAGGACAATGGATTGTGGGAAAATAAGCGCCAAAAAAACACGGACAAAGAGTAGATTGACAACGACACAGGGCGCACTCTCAACTGAATTTATTAGGAAAAAACACAAACTTATATACCAATGGGAGCACACTATCAGACACCACACGTCACGTTAGTCTCCCAGACCACGTTTTAAATATTCAAACTCATTCGTAGACAGTGAAATGAAATGAAAAACTTGGCAACTTCCACAGCAGTTCCGAAAGGAAGGGCTTTCGTTTCGGCGTACCGCGTGAGATAATCTGTGGCAACGATGATCCATCGATTTCCCGACGTCGACGGCGGAAAAGGGCCAAGTAGATCCATTCCGATCTGCTGGAAGGGTGCCGTTGGCGGAGGAATTGACTGCAAGAGTCCGGCCGGCCTCGTTGGAGGTTTCTTTCGTCGCTGGCATTCATGGCATGATCGTGTGTATAGGTGGACGGTTTTGGGGAGCTTGGGCCAGTAATACTTTTCACGAATACGGGCCAGTGTCCGGCTGTAACCAAGGTGTCCGGACGTCGGGTCGTCGTGGCAAGCTTGGAAGATCTCCTCTCGAAGGTCGGTCGGGATTACCAGCAGCCACGTCGAGTTGTTGTTGCCGAAGTTCTCTTTGTAGAGAACTCCTTGTCTAATGGCGAAGGTCGGCAGGGCTCGTGAAAAAACACGTGGTATGGCACTCCCACGCCCTTCCAGGTGCTCTATTAGTGCGCGCAGCTCAGGATCGTCTCGTTGACGTCGGGCCATGTCGTCGGTGTTCACTGCGCCCTTTTGTGAGGTGTTGCGCTTCGCCTCGGAAGTTCGTCATGAGGACCACAGTGCGGCCATTCTGGAGTTCTGCTACCCCTCTTGCGACGCCTATTCCTCTTCCTAGAAGCAACTGGAGGCTCACCTCGAGCAGAACTTCGCCGCAGAAAGCTTCGGTGATCCCGACAGGTACGAAAACACTCGACCGCGGCGGTAAGTTTACGTGAGTTGCGAGGACTCGGACTGCGGATGACGTCGCTTTGGGTTCCTCCGGTGGTGAAGCAGGTTTTCGCAGAGTTATCCGGTTTGCTCTGAAGTCGATGACGGCGTCATACTCGCAGAGAAAGTCCATTCCGAGAATAATGTCCCTCGAACAGTCTTGCAGAACGACGAACTTGACAGGGCACGTCTCACCATGCATCTCGACGCGGGCAGTGCATCTCCCAACCGGCGTGATGAGGTGCCCTCCGGCGGTTCGTATTTGAGGTCCATCCCACGGCGTCGGGACTTTTCGAAGACGGCGAAAGAGCCTCCCACTCAAGACTGAGTAGTCTGCTCCGGTGTCCACGAGTGCTGATGCGTCGTGGCCGTCAATAACAACGTTTAGGTTGTTGGACACCGATGCAGAAGCTTCGTTGCGATGCGTGGCGTCGGGAGAGTGGGAGCGCTCCGTCGTTCTTGGAGGCTCTTTACGTCGGTCGTCTTCGGCAACTCCACCTCCAGGGGTTGCCGCGCCTAGTTTCCCCGGCGAGGAGCGAGGGGTGACAGGCTTTCACGTCGGGGTCGGTGCATCGGCGAAGCTGGACGTCGTGGCGAAGGCGACCGGAACTCTCGGCTGGACGCAGGCTCGGGGGACTGAGGTCGTCGCAGGTACTCGTCGATCTCCCGAGGGCGTTCACCATGATGGGGGCGCGGGTCGTTCGGGTGGAACCCGCGTAGCCCGAGTCGTCGGTATGGGCATCGGCGGTAGGTGTGGTCCGCTTCCCCGCAATGGAAGCACAGAGGGCGTCGGTCGGGCGTTCGCCACACGTCGGTCTTGCGGGGTGCGCGAGGCTCCGGGCAGGCGTACTGGACCTGGTCGTCGTGGCGTCGGTCCTGCTGCGGCGCAGGAGACTGACGTCGGGGCGGCGTGACATAGGTGCGACGAGGAGGCGGTGGCCGTCGGGCCACTGCGGCGTAACTCAACGTCGGTGGTTCCGGGGCGGTGCTAACGAGAACCTCAGGCTGCAGCGCTTGCTGGACTTCTTCCCTGACAATCTCGGCGATTGAGGGCGAAGCTGGGCTTGCGGCGGCAGGTAGAAGTTTCTTGATCTCTTCCCGGACGACGTCTCGGATCATCTCGCGGATGTCCGTGGTGTTGCAGCCGGAAGGCGAAAAGGAACCGAGGCCGGGAACTCGGTGATAGTGGGTGGCTCGTTCGATGTTGGTGGCCTCTGTCGTGAAGCCTTCGACGGTGGTAGGCGGGCTCCGCACAAGACCACCGAAAATGTTTTCCTTGACGCCACGCATCAAGACTCTGAGCTTCTTTGCTTCGGATGCTTCGGGATCGGCGTGGTTGCTCAGTCGCAGGACATCTTCCACGAAGCTAACGACGCTCTCGTTAGGGCCTTGAACCCTCGCTTGAAGAAGCACTTCCGCGCGTTCTCTTCGTTGTTGGTTCGTGAACGTTCTTCGCAACTCAGCCTTGAGTTGCTCCCAGGAAGTGATCGAAGCTTCGTGGTTCTCGAACCAGTTCCGGGCGGTGGCTTCCAAGGCGAAGTAAGCGTTTTGCAGACACTGTTCCGGTGTCCACCCGTTATGACGGGCCACTCGTTCGTACTGTTGGACCCAGTCGTCGATGTCTTCGTGGCTTTCGCCGTGGAAGGGAGCCGGTGTCCGAGGAGCGACGGGTAGGTAGACGACGGCAGGAGCGGCGGGGGCCTGCGGCTGGTTGTCCATCGTCGTCTTCTTCGGCTTGGGTTTGTCCAGGAGCAAACCCCGGATCCTCTCCCTTGGTGCGGCGGCTGGTCCGAGTTTCAGGTTCCGCGCTGAGTGGTCTTCTCAGCGAGCTTTGAGTCGGGCTTGTACTGCGGGTCCTGGGAGGGGAACGCTGCACGGGCATGCGGTACCCCGCACCTCCGCCAAAATGTCACGGGTGGTGACCAATAAACAATAAATAAACAGAAAGAAATAAACGTTTAATGTGGCGAACTTGTGCCAAAAATAAAAGGGTACTAAAGATAACAACGGAGCGTCGCGGGCGTCGAAGTCGGCGTAGCAGCACAGTCCAACGCTGGGCGAAAACTGGCTCGACAAGGTTGCGGGCGGCCTCTTATCTAGAGTGAGTCACTATCTCGAAGATTCGGCGGGGAAGGTTCGAGCGTAGCGCGCTTGGGGCGAGAATGAACACGCACTTTCTAGAACAACAAAAACGATAGAAGTTATGTTCGCAGGAAGAATAAACGAGAACCTTCTGCAAGTCTGCGCGCGGCAATATATGTGATCATGGACGATCAGATATACTTGCGCTTCCAGTGCTATGTGGTTTTGTAAAAAAAGGATAAATCTATAGAACTAGTAGAAGACACTTTGATATGTTCGCTAACTGTCTAGACCAGAGGTAACTCGGCGAATCAATAATTTTTGAGGAATTGCCTTATATTTGCTTATATTACACTTGTAAATTGTGTCATTCTATTTTCAAAAATAGTCGTAACTATGTCCGTCTCTTTGCTCGCTACGCAGTAGTACAGAAATTGCAAATCTTTAGAGTTTATACTATTTTTCAATAGACAAACATATCACCTACCAATTGGCTTCACATTTATGATACAAGACCAACAGTTTAACATTCTAAAAAAGTAGAAATATGCTAACTTAAGATACTTAACTGAGAACGTCGGGTTCCTTCTAGCAGCAACCCTGGTCTTGGATGACTATCAGTTTAAATTTTTGTTGCGTATAGAAGCTTGACGAACATGATTCCTGTTTTGTTTTGTCTAGAAATGCGTCTACGAAGTAATCGGACAAAAACGCAGTCAGGCAGCCGTTATGAAACCCAAGACCTCCGCCGCCAGCGCAAACCCCCGAAAAACGCGCCCGACAAAAGGGTGAACGCCGCAAATAAACATTGCTCTTTGTCAACTGCAGGAGTTCGTTCGCATATCTCTACCTCGTCGGTAATACATGAAAGGTAAGCATAAAAAACACAGAGCCGAAATGCATGGTATTACGCAATAAAACTGACTTCGTTTTTTTTTTTTGACATTATTTGAGCGTATTGTTTGAAAACTTGTCTTGTGGTGGTCAGCGTTATATATTTCACACGTATACTACCATTTTATTAGAAATAATTGAAGATATATATGAAGAGATAAGCAGCATCAGCTTTTACCGGGCATCAACTATTTTGCGCTACGCTGTCATGTCTAACGGAGTTTAACAGATCTGCAGCCCCGCACTGTTGTGAGAGTACCTGGTAAGAATTAGTCTTGTTCCTCATTCGCACGAGCTCGCACGACTAGCATGGAGAGTGTTGGAGCACTGCGGAAGCTACGCTAGCCTTGGCAATGTAAGAAATCATTATTGACACCCATTATAGTGCAGAGCAACCTACTGTTCATACAGAACGAAGGTGATCGTATGAACGCAACGTGGTGAAACCTCGTTGGTAATGCAAAATTTTTGGATATTTTCTTGAGTGACTGCAAAATGCACAGCTACCTAAAGAAATACACTCGGGCATGTCGTCTTAATTTTAACTTAAATAAGGTTTGCACTGCACACGCGGCATGAATATTAGTGCCCTCAAAACCCTTGGTTGTTGTCGTTTGGGCTTCACTCCTATTTGTACATAATCTATTTACATCACCACCGCAGTTTTTGCTAGTTCCCTGTAAGGGAAGTGAAAGAAACAATTTTAATCGTTATGGTAGAAACCAAAGACTGATTTAAAAACAAAAAGGAAACTTAGTAAAAGGGAAGGACCGAGTGCACAGGCAAAGTCTTATACCCCTGTCAGACGTGGGTTTTGAAGGTCTTTGGAACTTGCTTCCTTATAAAATCGGCGAACAAGCGCTTGCCTTAGGGCACGTGCGCACTCAACATTGCGTGCTGACAGGCCGATTTTATAAAGGAGCTTAGTGAAAAGGACCTTTAGAATGCCGTCTGACAGGAGTATTCATTTTTTTCCTTCTCTTGGCGATTTGTTTTTCTTTTTTTTTTGACCAGTCTTTGGTTTCAAAAGTCATGACTAATTTACACCAGCTCGCGTGCACTTTAAACATTTATTCGGAAAAAATCTTGTTCGCTTAATTTGACCAAAAAGGCGATATAATAAAAAAACGTATGAGCCACACGTTTTCTACTTCGATATCAGCATGTTTTATAATTAATAAAAGGGACTTTTAGTAGAGCTTGCACTAGAGCTTCGCTTCGCCAGCGGGAGCTCGTGCCGTCACTTTGAGGCATGAATTGAGCACGTGACCGCTGGGCCCACGATCCGCAGCTACGGTGGCTAGAAGCAACCGTACCGCAGCTTACACTCTGCCGAAAGTTTCCATCATATTAAGATATGCCGCCCACACCCACATCACATGTCGGAGACATTGAACCCGAAGATACACAAGTTGACCTGTGGATCTGCAATCTGTTGTCGAAACACCTATGCATAATTTAAAATCTCCTTTACCATAGAGTACAATCGCATGTCCGACTGTAATGTCACAGAGCAGATTTTGTAAACACAATGCCGTAAAAACGCTTGAGAAGGTCTGCAGAAACGTTGAGGTTTCACGACGTCATTAAATTTCTTAATTAATCCTCTACACAATTCCAAGTACGACGTTTCCGTTAATGTTCCCGGATACGCGTGCAAGCCAACCAGAATCGAGTGAATTGAGATTTCCCTGCAAGTTCATGGGCCGTGCCGACAGCGGCGTTACGTTATAGTCACGTGTTGGTGTGCAGACGTGACTTACTCGCAGTAGGTGATATATCAGATGAAGATTTAGACTATGTGGAGTTAATGTGATTAAAATTATTTCTGGTTTCCCCGCTGTAGATTAGGAATGTAACCAGTTCTGTACTTTTAACACATGTGTGATGGAAAGATGGTGAATAAAGGACAAAGAACCCGAGGACGGCGAGTGAAAGAAAGAGAGGTGTATTATGTACAGAAGAAAAAACGAAAATAGATGACGTAGTCTCACTCGAGTCAGGCACCGCACCTTCACGTCGTCGTCGGCGGCGGCCACGGGTGCTGCCTTCTGGGTCGGCTTGGGGAATGTTCGCTTTCCGGCGTAGGCGGCGGTCCCCTTGGCCAGGGCTAGCTCTCACGGGCCTCTAGCCGCCCGTCCAGAACCAGTCGTTGCTGCCGTCGGGACCGCGGGAGCCCACCGATGTCTTCTTTAGCGTCGCAGTTGCCGATCTGCCTTCAGAAGCCCCCTTTTTCACGCGCACCACACTGCCCGGCCCCACTTCGTCTTCCTCTCTTCTCGCTTCCATAGTCCACCTCATCACACGACCCCCCCTTTAAGACAATTGTTCCAATTGTTTCAAAAAGGGACAAACAAACAATCAAACCAAGAACATGAGTAAGAAACATCGCACTACTTTTCTAAATTAAACTAAGTAATTTGGCTGGTGTTGACACTCACTCAGCTGGCTGTTCGCGTTCTCACGTCCCAGTTTCGCAAGCCATCATATTGCTTGTGTTTCCCAAACTTGCATGTGTAAGCCATGTTTTCATCTTGTCATAGAATACACAAAGGGATGGACATGCCTTCACAATGACAGTGATGTGCCAGTGCAGATTACAAGCGACTCAAAAAGTCTGCTCCAAAGTTTTCGCTTCCCTTGATGTACGCGACGTGGAAGTCGTATTCGGCGAGTAGTAAACTCCACCTCAGTACCCGGTTGTTTAATTTTCTGGCTGAATTAAGGTACTGCAACGGTTGATGATCGCTTTGTATGATGAAGTGTCTTCCGAACAAGTATACATGAAACTTTTTTACTGCCCATATGAGAGCTAGACATTCTCTCTCTATGGTGGAATAGGCGATCTCTTGGGGTAGTAGTTTACGACTAGCATAAGCGTTGGGATGAAGAACGTTGTCGTGCTCTTGCATGAGCACGGCTCCCAAGGACCTTTCTGAGGCGTCTGTCCTCAGTACGAATATCTTCGTCACATCTGGTGATTTCAAGATAGGCTTTCTGGAAAGCAGTCTTTTCAGTTCATCGAATGCCTTTGCGTGTTTGTTCTCCCAGATAACTTTGTCAGGCGCTCTTTGTTTCGTCAGCTCCGTCAAAGGAAGTGCGGTCTCCGCGTAGTTTGGGATAAACTCCCTGTAGTAGCCTGTTAATCCCAGGAATGATCTTACTTCTTTTTTGGTTCGAGGTTGTTTACAGTCCTGGATTTTCTCCAGGGTCTCCGTTAGAGGCTCGAAGGATCCTTGCCCAACCTTATGGCCCAGGAATGTTATTTTGGAGAAGCCAATCTCTGTCTTTTTGGGTTTGATCGTTAGTCCTCCTTCTCTCACCCTGGTCAAAAACTGACGCACTGCTTTTAAGTGATCTTCCCAGCAGTCAGACGCAACTAAAACATCATCAAAGTAGTGGTGAGCGTCCGGTACGCCATCAAGAATCTTCCTCATCAGCCGTGTAAATACTGCCGGGGCTGTTTTGATGCCGAAGGGCATAAACCGGAATCGATATAATCCCGTTGTTGTCGAGAAAGCCGTTGCGTCCTCTGACCCTGGAGCCATTGGTACCTGCCAGTAGCCCTTCGCAAAGTCAAATTTGGAGTAGTAGCGTTTTGTGCTCACTCTAGCGAACATCACGTCGACGCGGGGGATAGGTTCGCAATCAGGTACTAGAACCTTGTTCAGTTGACGAAAGTCGATGCAGAGCCTTGTGGTCTTGTCTTTCTTTTTGACGACAACCACCGGTGAACTGTAGCCTGAGTCGCATTTCTCAATAATGCCTTGTTGTAGCATCTCGTCTACCTCCTTTTCCACAGCGTCTTGCAGTGCTAGAGGGACAGGATACGGGCGTACTTGAATTGGTGTGTCCGTTGTCAATCTCAGTTTGCACTGTACGAGACTGGTTCGACCGGGACAGTCCGAAAATACGTCTCGAAATTCTTCTAGCAGTTGGTAGACCTCTCCTGCTTGTCGTTCAGTTAGCTCCTCTGACATCTGTACATCGTTGTAGCCTTCCAGTTGGCTAAGGCAGACACTAGGAATGTCTTGCTCCTCTGACTCCTCTTCGATGGTAATGCCAACCAGGGCTTGACGGGGAGCACATAGAACTTCCCTCTCTTCGTACTTTTTGAGCATGTTGATGTGAAATACAGTAGACTTTCTTCCAAGGTCTATTAGGTAGTCCACGTTATTCCTCCTTTTTAATACTGGAAATGGTCCTTTCCATTGCAGAATCAACTTGTTTTTGTCCGTTGGCAACAAGATGAGGACTCTGTCTCCCTCTTTCAGTTGTCTAACTCCACTTTTCTTGTCGTAGTACCTCTTTTGGGTCATTTGAGCTTTCCTCAATTCCTCATGGGCGGTCTTACAAGTCTCTTCTAGTCTCCGTCGAAGATCCACCATATAACCATAGGTTGTTTTCGTTTCGGGGTCTATGCTTTCATTTGTCCAGAGTTCCTTCAACACTGTCATAGGACCGCGAACATGTCGGCCATAAAGAAGTTCGAAGGGTGAAAATCCTAGGCTGCTTTGCGGCACCTCCCGGTACGCGAAGAGCAACGGATTAAGGTACCGGTCCCAACACCTCGGTTTTTCTTGGCACATCCGTTTAATCATTTGTTTAATTGTCCCATTGAACCTTTCGACCAATCCATTGCACATTGGATGGTAAGGCGTCGTGGTCAGATGTCTGAGCGAGAGCAAGCGGCTGACCTCCTTCATTAAAGCTGAAGTGAAGCATGACCCTCGGTCGCTCACAATTTCTCGTGGTAAGCCTACTCGGGCAAATATCTGTAACAGACCCTCTGCGACTTCCGCGGTGTCAATGCTCTTCAATGGGATTGCATCAGGGTATCTGGTTGCGAAGTCCACCACCGTCAGAACATACCTGCTGCCGGACTCTGAACCCGGATT